TTAAAAGTCTGTGGGATTGCGTCGTCGACTTTCGAGAATTCTGTCTGGTTTCTCCTCGAGGTATTCTTCCAAGGTGGATTTGGGTACCACACACTGGTCTCTGGAGTTCCCGTTCCTGGTTGAGCAACAAAAACAGCAGGTTAGATTTTAGTTTTGACGTTTCATACAAATCAGATTCATTTCAATTTATGCTACTCCCCGTGTGGGTTCCAAGGCCCTATTATACGGAAAACAAGAATAGACCCACTGCCTACCCATGAGCATGTCGTAAGAGTCGACTAATTGGAGCTTCCTTCGAAGTCGGAAAGCATCTGTCTGAGAGGCAAGGAACCAACAGTCTGCATACAAATTAGTCAAATCTGTCAAACAAATGCACACGCAACACTCAGGTTCTGGAATAGGAGGACTGCAGTCCGGAAGTGGACGAACAACCAGAACTTCCCACCTGAGTTTACAGCCGGTGAAAGCGAAAAAGAAGAAGAAGAATTTGTGCTACATATGGTACTGGGGCCACACGGCCTTTCGCAATTGAAAAACGAGAGTTACGGAGCCACCGAAAAATGTCTGAAAAAAGTGCAGGGATGATGTTGTTGTTGTTGGAAAATAGTCACGACAGAAAGGAAATGTTTACGTACTATGCTTGGTGTAACGAGGAAAAATCGCCTTATCAGCGATGATACCAGGAGGAGAGTCGGTACGGAACTAATACTGAACTTATAGACAGACAACAAATCAAATGGTTTGGCCATGTAACAAGACTAGCAGCAGACAGGGCCCCACAGAGAACAATGTTAGACAGATACAGCGGTAACAGATGGTCAACCACACAGAAGATGGACCTGAGACACTGAAAGGTACTTTATGCGAAGCGAACAGAAGGGCCAGTTCCAGAGATTTCTTCCTGTCCTGACGCCGCGAGGCTTTCGGGAGTAGAGAAAAAAAGACGAAGTGGTAACTGTGGATTTGATTAGAATAAAACAGGTAATGTGGCTAGGCCATATAACGCAGATATCAGCAAAACAGTATATCACAACAAGCAATGATGTACATGTCATATAATGCAGACGTCAGCAAAACAGTATACCACAACAAGCAATGATGTACATACCAGGCGGGTGGTGAAAAAGAGGCCGACCATGCAAACCATTGACTGAGGGAAAAACAGAGTCCCTGTGAATCCCCATTTACGCAGCACGCATATCGGGCAATTTCCCGTAAATTATACTTTACTTCGATACTGCAAGGCACTAGAGGACAAAGATGGGATGAGATGAGACAACTCACCTGTTAACTTTGACCCCCTTGGATGGATCCTTGGGATCTTTGTAGTCAATGAAGATAGCATCACGTGATGCCATGGACGGACACTCCTCGTAGTAGTTGTGTGGCGTCAGCAAGACAACGATGTGGTTGCCAACAGCTGCTGTGTTGGGGATGTCCTCTGTGTGTGGAATGTGCTGGAACCCACTGCTGATCCAGAAAACCAGATCCTGGTGACAGAGCAAATGTCGCTTTAATATGTCATCTCCTCCTCCTCTGCCTCTTCCTTCTTCTTCTTCTTCCTTTCCTTCTTCTTCTTCTTCTTCTTCTTCTTCTTCTTCTTCTTCTTCTTCTTCTTCTTCTTCTTCTTCTTCTTCTTCTTCTTCTTCTTCTTCTTCTTCTTCTTCTTCTTCTTCTTCTTCTTCTTCTTCTTCTTCTTCTTCTTTCTTCTTCTTCTTCTTCTTCTTTCTTCTTCTTCTTCTTCTTCTTCTTCTTCTTCTTCTTCTTCTTCTTCTTCTTCTTCTTCTTCTTCTTCTTCTTTTCTTCTTTCTTCTTCTTCTTCTTCTTCTTCTTCTTCTTCTTCTTCTTCTTCTTTCTTCTTCTTCTTCTTCTTCTTCTCTTCTTCTTCTTCTTCATCTTCTTCTTCTTCTTCTTCTTCTTCTTCTTCTTCTTCTTCTTCTTCTTCTTCTTATTCTTTTTCTTCTTCTTTTTCTTCTTCTTCTCCTCCTTCTCTTTTTCTTCTCCTCCTCCTCCTTATTCTTCTTTTTTTTTCTCCTCCTCCGTCTTCTTTTTCTTCTTCCTCTTCTTCTTTTTCTTTCTCTTCCTCCTTCGTCTTCTTCTTCTTTTTCTTCTGCTTCTTCTTCTTAGTAGAATAGTAGGAGGAGGGAGAAGAAATAATAATAATAAGCCGATGACGACGAACTAAAAGCAGGGGTCGACAACTATGAAGAAGATAGAATGATAATGGTGATGATGAGGATGAGGCGGTTAAAGACGAAGATTAGTAGGAGGGGGAGAAGGAGAAGTAACAATAACAATGATAATAAAAAGAAAAAGAAGACTAAAAAATAACAGACAGAAACCATCACACCTACCTCATCTACAATAGGCTCGTTATCCTCGAAGTAATCGTTGAACTTGACCACCGACTTGTTGCTGTCCAGCATAGCATAGATGGAGCTGCCGGTCTCCTCTTCGTCCTTTCTCTTGGTGACCACCATCTGGTGGCGAACCCAGGAGATGCTTCTCTCGTTGCCAACATCCTCTTCTATGATGCTCTTAGACATACCTTTCATGTCAATTCTGCGAACGTCAACCATATAGAGCTTGTGTTATTTGAGGTGAAAGATAAAATAAGTAGTAAATGGATCGTTTTCCACGCCTTATGTCGTACTAGGCATATAGGGCTAGACCTACATTTATAGACCAATCGGCAGAAAAATAGTTAGTCTTTCCTCTTAAGCCTGGGGTGGCGCATAGGGCAGAGGTCATAGCTCTGCATGTCTGGCGGTTTGTTGCCACCTGTTTTAAGTCTTGGATATTCATTAGGCCCATAGTTGAGCCTTCCTTAACGAGGGTTCTACACACTGTCTTTCTTGGTCTTATCTGTTTTCTTTTTTCTTCCGGTGTCCATATGAGGCCTTAAGGGGTCACTACACGGCATTTTTTTCCAATTTATGACAAAAATATCACTTTTTCAATGTGTTCATTTTTGTAATGTTCGGCATTCGTAGAATAGATTACACACAAAATTTGTGTCATTGGTAAACAGTTTAGCATTGAAAAGTTAATACTAAAGACACCAACCCATGCACTTTTTTAAGATAAAAAAAAAGTTTAAAAGTCACTTTTCTAAAATTCAATTTTTCTGTTTGTTGTGTGTGGGATTTCCTAAACTCTCAGCTAATATAAAAACTAGAGACGTCAAATTTAGTGTGGATACTTCTAACACAATATTATAGGGTCAGGTTTATTTGAAATTACAGTTTATTAAGTAATTTGTTTTAAAAATTTGATTATTATCTTAAAAAGCTACATTTTTGTATTTTTTCAACATACCTAAATTTTAATATTCTACAAAAAATATTTAGAAACATCTTTGAAGTAAATAAACTAAACCTGACCCTAAATATAGGTTTAAAGTTCATGAATCGATCATTTGTTTCTCAATACCTCTGTTTGTTTTTTAAATTTAAGCTGTCTAAGTACATGTTGTTTTTTCATCAAGATGGCGGCTGTTGCCATGACAACCATGTTTTTTTAAACTTTAAGTCTACAAATGTATCAACATACATCCCTACAAATGACCAAAATAAAATAATTGGTCTAACATTGTAAATAAAAAAAAAAAAACTTTTTTCCTGTAGTGACCCCTTAATGGGGGAGTTAGTCTATTCCATTCTGAGTGCATGGCCGATGTAGTTCCAGCGGAGCCTTTTTTTAATATTGGAAAATATAGACTTTTATAAATCCTATTTTAATATACGGAAGTGAATCATGGACAGTTGGTCGATTAGTGAAAGAAACAAACTTATTTGGAAGCGGCAGAGACTTGGTTTTACAGACAAATGATGAGAACACCATGGATATATAAAAAGAGTAAGAAGATGTCTTGACAGAAACTGACTCATGAAGAGAACTGATTGCCCTCATCATACAGTCTACATTATTTGGAGAAGGATAAGACTGGAGTACATCAAGGAATGGCCAAGGATAAAACGATTTGGAGTGGTTGGTTGAGGGCCTATGCTCCACTGGGGGATAGAAAGGCAGAAGAAGAAGACATCAAGGATGGAGGGAAAGTTGGAGGGGAATCGAGGAAGACAGAGACGGAGAGAGAAGATCCTGGACAGTTTGACATCATGGCATGGAAGATCATCAGTGTCAGAGCTGACTGAAAGTACACGAGACAGAAGGTTGCGGACAGACATGACGACCAACGCCATACGGCATGGACTATGGAAGATCATCTGTGTCAGAGCTGACTGAAAGTACACGAGACAGAAGGTTGCGGACAGACATGACGACCAACGCCACATGGCATGGACTATGGAAGATCATCTGTGTCAAAGTTGAATAAACGTACACGAGACAGAAGGTTGAGGACAGACATGACGACCAACGCCGCACGGCATGGACTTTAGGAAGAAACCAACTTAATAAGTTGCATATCCTTCCATTTCAAATTCTTTGCAGTATTAAACAAATGGACTGAGAACACGGGAACCTCCAAGAGAAAGAGCCTACTAGGAATCCTGCATATGATAGGCAAAAAAAAAAAAAAAGCTGGACTAGATTAAATCCCTGATATTGTTGAAAGAATTACACAGAGTAGAAGGAAACAGGGGAAGAGACTGCCAGTCCTGTGAGGCATATAACAACACAACGGGATAATTCGATGAAGATGACGTTGATAATGACGATGCTGATAGTGTTGTTAGTGATGATGATAGTGATAATGGTTGTGTGCTAATGATGACGATGGTGGTAAGGATGATGATAAAGATGGTTGTGATGATGATGATGCAGATATCACAGACATTTATTGATTTATTAAATTTATAAAGATGCGAACCTGTATGATCTCTTTTCGTTGTACTTATTCCTTTTCTTGTCGTTGTGAACAATATGATATTTGGGCTCAGACATTTTGTAGTCTGCTACTGCTTCCTTCTCTGATTTCTTCAAGGTTGAGGTGATTTTGGTCTGCGAGTACGGCCTGTCCGGGAACTGAAACGGCAATATTAAACAGCCGGTGTGTTAGAAGTTGTGATGTCACTTTCGGTCAATACGGACGATTGACAGGGCCACTGTTTTTAGTCCTGGCAGATGTATTTATTTTGCTTCTGACAAACGGTGGGATGGCCGTTGCATTTTCCTTCATATGTAGACTAAAAGGATATATTTTCGATGCCCAGCTACTGAGTTGACTGCATGGTGCGACACTGTAAGCTGTGGATTTCATTTGGAATGCCTTTCGATTTGATCAACGTGGTGTTGTGAAATTTGGATTTAGTAAACGTCGCGTGTCATGTTGCCACATATTGGTGCCGTATGCCATAGAACTGATCGCGTGTGCAAACTGCCGATTTCTTTGTAATTGCTCCTGCAGTTGATGAGCAACTGCGTTTCTAATGTCGGACGATTTGTGTCAGCCCTTCCGATAGCAGCCTTATGCTTCTAATGCGTGTGTATGCTAGTGGATATGCTGAGACTTCAGTCTGTAAATATTTCCACAAAGGACATTGATGGACATGCCGCTTGTCTTCCCTTGACACTGAAGCAGCGCAATAGTTGGGTGGCCAGTTTGTGAAGCTGAAACTAAGGTTACGAGATTACCTGATTGTTGCTTCTGTTGGGAAGGGACAACAATCTATTTGTTCACGCCCTCCAGAATGTGAGACTTTGCCAGTCAGAGTAAAGCTTCCATTGTTGACTGACTGACTTTCTACCCCACCAGGACATCACACAAGCGATAAACACCCGATGACACAAAGTGCCACCATGCGGATGAGGATCACCGTGGAGAGGTCCCAGAAACCGCGTTCAGACAATTGGCCATTTTGATGGCCTGCCTATATTGCGGCCCCTGACAAAAGCCAGAGTGGGGCTTCAAATAACAAAAAAATACGTCATAAAAAGGACGGAAGTGAAATAATGTAAGTATCTTCCATTGTTACGCACTGAGGGGTTTTAAATTCAAGGCTACATGCACAAGAACTGCTCATTGGAAGAAAGCTTCAGTGTTAAACCTGACAGGCTAGAGCTGATAGTTCTAGAAATGGAGTCGGAAATTCAGGCGGGAAAAGTTATGACAACGCTCTAGACAAATATGACTGCATTTGATGAAATGTTCAATTTTTTACATGAATAAATGAAGACATTTGTGTCTGAAAAAAATGAGACATCCCCAAATAAAGTAAAGGACCCTTTTCTACGCCTTTAAGCATATTGACAATAAAGGGCTAGACCTCTATTTTTATAGACCAATCGGCACTTGGTGGGTGATGTGGTCAGCATCACGCCGGCCGCCTTTACTTCTCAGGACTGCACCTGGTACCCACTCAAGGCTGGGTCGACCTGGGAGTCAAGGTCATTTTTGAAAACGTCCGGCTCCTTCAGGACGCGAAACCACGACCTTCCAACCAGCAGGCTGGCCTGGCCTCTAGCTATCAACGCTGCGGCGACTCCCATCCTCAAATAAAGCCCTAGTATATTGTGGAAGCTAACAATTGGGTATGATCTACTATAATCTCCCTGGCCAAACTATGTCACGGTCCATGGATAGATTTTTTATACTCGTCTGCTGTCCAGAGGGTTATGGCTATGTTGTTTACGTTCTGGCTTGTCTTGCATTTACGTTCCACTTCCAAAAAAGGGGGTTGTGGATTAGACCCCGTTTGTAAATGTTTTTGTAGTGTTAAAAGCGCTGGCGTGCTTAAATACACAGCACGCGACATGAGCGCATTGCCTAACACCCCTCTAGCAGTGTGCGATTTCGGGTCACTAGAGATTATCCAATCAGGAGTGAGCTAGTCTGTACTGTGGGGAGATAATCGTGGATCATGACTAAAAATTGAGTAAATTTTACGCTGGTCTCCCCATTTACACACCGCTACACACTAGCTCGCTTCTGATTGGACGACCTATTGACCGCCACACGCTGATAGGTCGGCCTCGAGCGATCCGACTTTCACACAAGGTCACGGGGATATTCCGCACTTGCCCTGATGCCGCGTGTTGTATATTTTACCATGTCAGAGCTTTAAACACTTCGAAAACATTTAGATACTGGGCCTAACACACAACCCCCTCCCCCTTCCACCCCCTAGAGAGTGACAAAACCTATGTCACAGGCCGTCTCTTTCTCTGAAATAGAAACGTAAATGCAAGACGACAACAGACTGCGACACCCATAACCTCAACCACAGTAGACTAGTCCAACCAGCTTATCAGTGGAGTTGACCTACAACTGGTTGTGTGTAAATGGGGCGACCATCGTATAAATAACCAAAAATTGATATAAGGCACAGTCTTATTTTCGCTGTTAACCAGAAGAAGCAGTTTATGGGGCAAGTGCCTACCGCTGTCAGCTTGAGCTTCTCCTCGCTGATGTTCAATGTCTCGTATCTGTTGGAGCGCCCGTTGACGTCCAGGTCGACTTTCATGAGGACGTGGTGTTGGTGCAGGTTGCCGATGATGTTCTCCTGGACGCGGTGTCCGTAGGGCATCTCCTCAGGCGAGATAAAGGTGGTGTGGATGTAGCCTGGGGAGAGAGGAACGGTGACAGGTAATCTAAAGGCAGGTGATCAAGGTGTAGTCTTTGGGTAGAAGAACAATTACAGGTGAACTAATGAAAGATGCAGACAAGACAGCATCATCATCGAGTAGCAGGTCCTTTGCAGAACGTCGCTGTTATCACGGTCTGCCTGAAAGAAACTTGGTCTCTCGCCAGCTCTCCCGCCTTGTGTACTTTCACACTCAAGGAGTCACTTATATCCTGTGCCCATCTTTACGTTGATCGACCGCTGCTCCTCATTCCTGGTACCATACCTTCTGCTATTATTGTTTTCTCAATCCGCTGAGGCGATTGATATGACCAAAATATTGCAGTTTCCGAGATAAGATGCTATTTATTATCCCATATTTTTCGATGTTCAGATTTTTTTAATGTCTCTTTTTTTGCCCATGGTATTCCGAGAAATTTTCAGTAACATTTCAGCTCAAAAGCCCCTATTCTCTTCCTTACGGACTGGAAGATAGTCCACGACTCACATCTGTATGTTGCTACAGAAAAGAGGCATGCTTTCAAACTTGATTTCCTATCTGATGCTACACTATAGACTCTAAATGCTGTTTAAGACAAGACATATGTTAGTAAATAAAGAAATCTTTTAAAGCCAGTGACTCGTCAGGTAAATGATGCTAAAGTCGTATTTATATACACCAGTGGTTTCCAACCTAGGGGCGGGGGGGGGGGTGGGGGGGCGTGAGGGAGTTTTAGTGAGGACGTTGAGCAGTTTTGAAACTGGGTTTACTTATACATGTAATAATCCTAATTTTGCAGTTAAAACAGCCATGGAAACAAAACACAATTGCCAGCTTGATATGGAGAGTGATTTCTGTTGTGAGTGTCTATCAGACCAAAAATGGCAGATACCATTGAGACTAAATACTGTCAACAATGACATTAGCATTTGGCAGTCGTTAGTAATTTTTTTTTTTTTTTTTTAATTTGACACTTTTAACAGTGCTTAAGAATTTGTTTCTTCATCCTATCTTTATTCACCCTTTGTAATGCTAGGGGTGAGTGCGGGGGGGAGGGGGGGGGTGGTATTCATATAGTCAAAAGGAGGCATATAGGGCTAGACCTATGTTTTAAAGACAAAATTTGCAACTGGGGGATGTCCACGATATCACGCTGGTTCCCTTTACTTCCCTTGTGGCGACCCTTTAATACAGTTCCTCATGTTGTGGCGACCCTTTAATACAGTTCCTCATGTTGTGGCGACCCTTTAATACAGTTCCTCATGTTGTGGCGACCCTTTAATACAGTTCCTCATGTTGTGGCGACCCTTTAATACAGTTCCTCATGTTGTGGCGCTCCTTTAATAAAGTTCCTCATGTTGTAGCGACCCTGTAATACAGTTACTCGTGTTGTGGCGATCCGTTAATACAGTTCCTTATGTTGTGGCGATCCTTTAATACAGTTCCTCGTGTTGTGGCGACCCTTTAATACAGTTCCTCATGTTGTGGCGCTCCTTTAATAAAATTCCTCATGTTGTGCCGACCCTGTAATATAGTTACTCGTGTTGTGGCGATCCTTTAAACGGTTCCTTATGCCGTGGCGACCTTTTAATACAGTTCCTCATGCTGTGGCGACCCTTTAATACAGTTCCTCATGCTGTAGCGACCCATTAATACAGTTCCCCATGTTGTAGCGACCCTTTAATACAGTTCCTCGTGTTGTGGCGACCATTTAACACAGTTCCTCATGTTGTGGCGACCCATTAATACAGTTCCCCATGTTGTAGCGACCCTTTAATACAGTTCCTCCTGTTGTGGCGACCATTTAATACAGTTCCTCATGTTGTGGTGACCCTTTAATACAGTTCCTCATATTGTGGCGACCCTTTAATACAGTTCCTCATGTTGTGGCGACCCTGTAATACAGTTACTCATGTTGTGGCGATCCTTTAATACAGCTGCTATTGTCGTGGCGACCCTTTAATACAGTCCCCCATGCTGTGGCAACCCTTTAATACAGTTCTTCATGTTGTGGTGACCCTTTAATTCAGTTCCTCATGTTGTGGCGACCCTTTAAAACAGTTCCTCGTGTTGTGGCGACCCTTTAATACAGTACCTCATGTTGTGGCGACCCTTTAATACAGTTCCTCATATTGTGGCGACCCTTTAATACAGTTCCTCATATTGTGGCGACCCTTTAATGCAGTTCCTCATGTTGTGGCGACCCTTTAATACAGTTCCTCATATTGTGGCGACCCTTTAAAACAGTTCCTCATATTGTGGCGACCTCCAACCATACAATCATTTTCGTTGCCACTTTATAATGTCAATCAATATGTGTTTTTTAATGGCGAGCCTCTGTGATGAAGGCAAACAAGTATAATAATGACCTTAAAATAATAGGCAATCTATGATTAAAAAAATACTTAAAAACCACTTTATAACAGGGTTGGGGAGGGGGAATTTCGAGGGAATCCCCCTTTCTTTAAATATTTTAAACTTTTTTTAATTGGAGTGTTCGACTGCCTGTGTGTTAAATAAGGACAGGATGCCCGGCTCGCTAGATCAGCAGCTTAAACCTGACTGTGCGGCGACCGGGTGACTAACTCCTTGTGGTCCGAGTTCACGCTCGGGGGTAGACAAGAAAAAAGCCACATTTCTCCCACATTTACGGTATCAATGATGGAATTAACGCCGAAGGGTTGCGATATCCATAGTACCGAGCCAAAGGGTTAACAACTCATGGTTTCTGGATACTTAGAATATAAATAGAAAAGGGACGGGATAAACTAACAACGTCTGTTTTTGCTACCCACCCGTGCTGATCATTTTGATTTCAATGGCTCCGTTCTGACCAAGGGTGTAATCCAAGATGTAATTGCTGTCTGGCAGAGAAATTGATGATCTGAAAGATGCCAGAAAAGTTAACGTTAATGGATATCAACCCTGTTTGACTTCGTTATCAATACTTTTTGTCATCATCAACATTATCACCACCTCCAGCTTTACCATCTTCTTCTTATTACTATTATTCTACTACTACTACTACTACTACTACTACTACTACTACTACTACTACTACTACTACTACTACTACTACTACTACTACTACTACTACTACTACTACTACTACTACTACTACTACTACTACTACTACTACTACTACTACTCCTACTACTACAACTACTACTACTACTACTACTACCACCACCACCACCACCACTACCCCTAATACTGCTATTACTGCTTCTTCTTCTACTACTACTACTACTACTACTACTACTACTACTACTACTACTACTACTACTACTCCTACTACTACAACTACTACTACTACTACTACTACTACTACTACTACTACTACTACTACTACTACTACTACTACTACTACTACTACTACTACTACTCCTACTACTACAACTACTACTACTACTACTACTACTACTACTACTACTACTACTACTACTACTACTACTACTACTACTCCTACTACTACAACTACTACTACTACTACCACCACCACCACTACCCCTAATACTGCTATTACTGCTTCTTCTTCTACTACTACTACTACTACTACTACTACTACTACTACTACTACTACTACTACTACTACTACTACTACTACTACTACTCCTACTACTACTACTACTATTACTACTACTCCTACTACTACAACTACTACTACTACTACTACTACTACCACCACCACCACCACCACTACCCCTAATACTGCTATTACTGCTTCTTCTTCTTCTTCTTCTTCCACTACTACTACTAACACCACTACCCCTAATACTGCTATTACTGCTTCTTCTACTACTACTACTACTACTACTACTACTACTACTACTACTACTACTACTACTACTACTACTACTACTACTACTACTATAACTGCTGCTGCTGCTACTACTACTACTGCTGCTGCTACTGATGCTGCTACTACTACTTCTACTACTCCTTTTTCTCCTTCTCTTCCTACTACTACTACTACTACTACTATAACTGCTGCTGCTACTACTACTACTACTACTGCTGCTACTGATGCTGCTACTGCTACTACTACTTCTTCTACTCCTTTTGCTCCTTCTCTTCCTACTTCTCCTCCTGCTTCTGCTCTGCCTCCTAAATCTCCTAATCCTCTTTCTTCTTATGTTTCTCCTTCTTCTTCATCTTCTTCTTTTTCTTCTTCTTCTTCTTCTTCTTCTTCTTCTTCTTCTTCTTCTTCTTCTTCTTCTTCTTCTTCTTCTTCTTCTTCTTCTGCTTCTTCTTCTTCATCATCTTCTTCTTCTTCTTCTTCTTCTTCTTCTTCTTCTTCTTCTTCTTCTTCTTCTTCTTCTTCTTATTCTTCTTCTTCTTCTTCATCTTCTTCTTTTTTTTCTTCTTCTTCTTCTTCTTCTTCTTTATATCATTGTTGTTAGTATTATTATACTAAAAAGCCCATCTAGTCTAGTGCAGCAAAGACATCAACAAAATCAAGGTCAACCTGAGAGTGAGAACAGAGTTGAGCATTCCTCCAAAAAATCCTCCATCTGTGGCCTTGTAGGAAAGATGGCGTCTCAGCGGATATCCGGTGTTCTGTTCAAACAGACACAGGGCGGAGTCGTAGACTGCTGGTTCTTCCTCGTACTGGTTCATGAACGTCTGGAGACAGAAAAAATGTGGTGTCTTACTGATTTACCAACGTCTGGAGATAGATAACACGTGGTGTCTTACTGATTTATCAACGTCTGGAGATAGATAACACGTGGTGTCTTACTGATTTATCAACGTCTGGAGATAGATAACACGTGGTGTCTTACTGATTTACCAACGTCTGGAGATAGATAACACGTGGTGTCTTACTGATTTATCAACGTCTGGAGACAGAAAACACGTGGTGTCTTACTGAATCATCAACGTCTGGAGATAGATAACACGTGCTGTCTTACTGAATCATCAACGTCTGGAGATAGATAACACGTGGTGTCTTACTGATTTACCAACGTCTGGAGATAGATAACACGTGGTGTCTTACTGAATCATCAACGTCTGGAGATAGATAACACGTGGTGTCTTACTGATTTATGAACGTCTGGAGATAGATAACACGTGGTGTCTTACTGTTTTATGAACGTCTGGAGATAGATAACACGTGGTGTCTTACTGAATCATCAACGTCTGGAGATAGATAACACGTGGTGTCTTACTGATTTATGAACGTCTGGAGATAGATAACACGTGGTGTCTTACTGAATCATCAACGTCTGGAGATAGATAACACGTGGTGTCTTACTGAATCATCAACGTCTGGAGATAGAAAACACGTGGTGTCTTACTGATTTATGAACGTCTAGAGATAGATGACACATAGTTTCTTACTGACATACATTGACACCTACACATAAATAACATATAACGTCTTATTGCGTTTTTCATGGGCTCCGGCATTTAGCAGATTTAGTTTTTCTATTGCTTCGGTCTGCTTTTTTTTTTTTTTTTTTCAAGATTTTTCCCCTCAAGGGTTTGAAACAATTTCCGGTCTTTTTTCTTTTTTCTTTTTCCAATGGTTGACATCTGTGGCTATGGAGCTGCGAACGCGCTTCGTAATGTCGGGGTGCCTGGTTCGATCCCTGCCGCGGGCCTTGTGCCTTGCGATGGTTTCGACAGTGTTATCCAGAAGTCGACCGTCCAGAAAGCAATGGCAAACTGCTGAACGTAAATTTGCCTATAAAACCGACATCCCTAAAAAAAATGCTGGGATTGGTTCTGCGATATCCTGTAAAGGATACACAACTAACTTCTTTTTAACCGATGACTTCTACACAACAAATTCTTCAGATTCGGTTTCACCTATTGCCAGAGTGGACCCCAATGCTTACGTCATCAGCTTGCTTCTGCAGAAGCTATTTATTTGAGGCTGTAGGGGAAAATAGAAGGGTAGTTGTTGATACCCTTACGTCCTTTTTAGGACGTAATTTTTTTGTTATTTGAAGCCACACTCTGGCTTTTGCCATGGGCCGCAATATAGTCAGGCCATCATTATGGCCAATTGTCTGAGCGCGGTTTCTAGGACCTCTCCACGGTGATCCTCATCCGCATGGTGGCACTTTGTGTCATCGGGTGTTCATCGCTTGTGTGATGTCCTAGTGGGGTAGAAAGTCAGTCAGTCAAAATAGAAGGGAATTGAATATTAACTGTGAGATACAATCCAAAGAGGAAATTAGAAAAGCTGTTAGGAAGAGAAGGCTGCAGGTCCAGATGATTTAAAAGAAGAAATCATTAATAGTAAATAAACCCACATATGAAATCGCTACACCGATTATTTAGTAAAATCTCGGTAACTGAAGAAATGCCAGGATACTGGAAGAAACGATATCTTTGGGGAAATGCCCCGAAAAGGGGATCATTGTGAGTGTTAAAATTATAGGAGAATTATGCTACTTTATGGTGAATTAAAGGCAGATAGATGATGTCGAGACTGACCTCTACTACGGTATAAAGATGCGTACAAGCAGGACATGAAGGATACAGGTATTTAGGTGGACTCATGTGAACAAAATACCATAGACAGTGTTGTGTGGAAAGGGCATATCAGAAAGGAAATAAGGGTGAAGGAAGAAATGTTTGCAGAAAGGATGAGAGCTGAGCGTCTGAAAAGAAACGGATTAAACACAAATCCCATGACATCCCATACGTGTCTTGCTAGTCATACTCGCCATCGCCATGGGCTGTGAGTCTTATGCCTCCTCATAGCGCAATATAACACTATCGTCTGGAAAGACGGAAAGGTGCCAATCAATCATCAATCAATCAATCATGCTACTGTCAATTTCTTGCAGAATATTGAGTAGGATTATTTCGGAAAGACAACAAGATACCATTGATTAACAGCTAAGAGATAAAGAAGCAGATTTTCGCCAAACATATCCTATACAAAGAACAACAAAGGAAGTGGTTTGAACACCTAACAAGAATGCCCTGGTACTATCTGCTACAGCGAGCCACACTAAAACGTTACAATCGGTATAGAGCAAGTGGAAGACCTCGGAAAATATGGAATGATGGCATTAAGAACAGCCTTACAGAAATGAACATCAGTCGAAATAGTGCTCTTGGCAGAGCTCATCAACTAACATTACATCTCCCCCTGACACTTCGATGAGGTACAAGGTGAAAGAGAAGAATAAGAATATATCCTATACTGATAAGATAGACAATTCATGCGTAATAATAAAACAATGTATTCAACTGAATTTTCTGCTTTTTGTGTGTGTGGACCAGAAAAAGGTTTTTAACAACACTGAAAGTGAGTCCCTATGGAAACTGATGAAGACTGTGGAGTTCCACAGACAATTAATTAAATGAAAGCAACATATGAAGACAAGAAATGTCGAGTTTTTCACAGGAAGGAAAACTAAGATATACGTTTCAAACACGAACACCTGTGCGAACGGAATATTCTTTGTCGCCTTTACTATTTCTACTGGCAATAGGCAGAATTATGCAAGCAGCTGAAAGTGCCCTTTGCTTCCTTTTTACTATATAAATATAAAGGGGACATCACTCACAGCTTTCAGCATCGTTGCTGTCTCTGGACAACCGGCTCCAGCCACCAGAGCTTTAGACCTGCTGCCGATCATCCGGCTGTTTTCTATGTTGTTCAGGGTTTGCTGAAAGTTAATAAACAACGGTCATTGATCTATTTGTTACAGCTGAGTTGCTGAATGTAGTGAACGTTCAGGAAGTGCCATAGTTTTTTCTCCTCCTCCCCCTTCTTCTCTACATCATTTTCTTCTTCATCTTCTTCTTCTTCCTCTCCTTCTTCTGCTTCTTTTTCTTTTTCTTCTTCTTCTTCTTCTTCTTCTTCTTCTTCTTCTTCTTCTTCTTCTTCTTCTTCTTCTTCTTCTTCTTCTTTTTCTTCTTCTTCTTCTTCTTCTTTTCTTCTTCTTCTTCTTCTTCTTCTTCTTCTTCTTCTTCTTCTTCTTCTTCTTCTTCTTCTTCTTCTTCTTCTTCTTCTTCTTCTTCTTCTTCTTCTTCTTCTTCTTCTTCTTCTTCTTCTTCTTCTTCTTCTTCTTCTTCTTCTTATTCTTTTTCTTCTTCTTCTTCTTCTTCTTCTTCTTCTTCTTCTTTCTTCTTCTTCTTCTTCTTCTTCTTCTTCTTCTTCTTCTTCTTCTTCTTCTTCTTCTTCTTCTTCTTCTTCTTCTTCTTCTTCTTCTTCTTCTTCTTACTACTACTACTACTACTACTACTACTACTACTACTACTACTACTTACTCCTACTACTACTACTACTACTACTACTACTACTACTACTACTACTACTACTACTACTACTACTACTACAACTACTACTACAACTACTACTACTACTACTACTACTAGTACTACTACTACTACTACTACTACTACTACTACTACTACTACTACTACTACTACTACTACTAATACCCCAACACCTCCTCCTCCTCTTCTTCTTCTTCGTTGGTTCTTCTGACAGCAAACGTACAGCAGGAGGCCGGAAGTCTTGATGACAGCTATCGTGCAGTCTACATCTCTATAAGTACCATACAGCTTTGTCTAGAGTGAGGTTGGAACAGGACAGGTTGCTTCTCTATGCAAATGTATTCATCGTGTTTACGTTGTTCTAAAAGCCAGTTACATGTAATCTGTTACCAGAAAACGGGGGGTGCCTTATGCCGGTAATTGTGTGTGCAACTATTGGTTCCCTTTAATTGCTACTATTATCGATAATTTCTAATTTCTAATGCTGGATTGTTTGTGTGGGCACTTCTGATGGCTGCCTCTTGCATTTAATGCCGATGTATGTGTTACTGGCTTTACCGAGACTCCAGTCTATGTCCGTTTTATCACAAGGGACAATGATGGACATTCTGTGGCACAGGAACGCAGCACCAGTTGGTGACCCCTTTGGTTCTTATTCTTCTTCTTCAGCATTCCTAGCCCTTGAGGTTCATTGCTGCAGATATCACCCGCCTCCATTCATCTCTCTGGTTGGCCTTCTCTTTCCAGTTGGCAACACCAAGTGTTTACAGGTCTGTTGTCTGGACATTATCTCTTTATCGTCTTTTCGGTCTGCGTCGTGGTCTAAGACCAATTATCTCCCTTGTGTATAGAGTTTTTCCTTCTCTGTCATCTGGCATTCTTTCAATATGTCCCAACCATTTCAGTCTATTAGCTTTCATGATGCCAGTGATCAGTGGTGATTTAAACAGATTATAATTATTTTTATTGCTACTCACTCTCCATTCCCCGCAGTTTGCATCTTTGATGGGTCTAAAGATTCGTCGTGAGCCTCTGTTTTCGAAAAACTGTAATAAGGCTTCATCTCTTATAGTTGTGCTCCAAGCTTCAGACCCATCTGCTATGATATTGAAACTCATTACCCGATTACCTATTCAGTCACCAACTTACCCCGTAAGGAGCATATCCAGAGTAGAATGTGGCAATGTCAGCGACCTTCAACTCGTAGGCGATTCTTTCACCTTTGAACTTGACGTCGTAAAGAGAGACACCTGTGATAGGGGAGATCCTGTAGTGGAAGGACCATCCCATGTATTCCACCTACAACCACAAGAAAAAGGATTATAGTACGTTTCGAAAGTCGTGCCATTGCACTTTAACAAATATTTCTAAAATTCCTGTAGGGGTTAATATTAATTTTTGCATATGGCCTTAGATTTTCCATGTCCCTGTGATTTAATAATTTAAAATTGCACAGGTCCTTTTTTTTTTTTTTTTTTTTTTTTTCTCAAAGCGGTATTTTTTAAACTTATAATTTGTGAAATCCTAGAAGAAAAAAATACAGTAACTGACGCACTTGTGGAGACTGGAAGTCAGTTTACATGTGCCAGGAAGAATAGCGATTATTTTGGTAGCCTTTCTTGCATACAATGAACAAATCCACACCTCATATGAAGTCTGTGATAGAGATGACCACGAGAAAGTGAAACGCCAGTGGCGTGCATAGTTCGATGATTTGAGAAGTTCCCGTTATTCTGTTAACTGTAAGCATGCTGATTGTTTGCTTTTGCTTGACTGATGTTTCACCCCACTAGGACAACACACCAAACGATAAACACCCAGTAACACAAACTAGAACATCAAGAACTGATCCTAACCCCAACCCACCTACGTCCCAGGAGAGAGTACTGCCTAGGTCCCACGACTGCATACAGCCTAGGTCCCACGACTGCATACAGCCTAGGTCCCAAGACTGCATGCAGCCTAGGTCTCACGACTGCATGCAGCCTAGGTCCCACGACTGCATGCAGCCTAGGTCCCACGACTGCATGCAGCCTAGGTCCCACAACTGCATGCAGCCTAGGTCCTATGACTACATGCAGCCTAGGTCCCACGACTGCATGCAGCCTAGGTCCCATGACTACATACAGCCTAGGTCCCACGACTGCATGCAGCCTAGGTCCCACGACTACATGCAGCCTAGGTCCCACGACTGCATGCAGCCTAGGTCCCACAACTACATACAGCCTAGGTCCTATGACTACATGCAGCCTAGGTCCCACGACTGCATGCAGCCTAGGTCCCACGACTACATGCAGCCTAGGTCCCACGACTACATACAGCCTAGGTCCTATGACTACATGCAGCCTAGGTCCCACGACTGCATGCAGCCTAGGTCCCATGACTACATACAGCCTAGGTCCCACGACTACATGCAGTCTATCTACCACCCTCTGAAATATTGTATTCCGAGTAGGGTGGCCATTCATTCCGTTTTAACCGGGACAGGCCTGTGTTTTTTGGTGTGTGCCGGCCGTCCCGTCGGTACTCAACAACAACAAAAAAACGCTAACTGTCCCGTTTTATAAACATCTAGGAATAAACTCGAGAATAGAACAAACTCGAGAATAGAATAAACACGAGAATAGAACAAACTCGTATAGCTACACATGTAGACCTGATTAGATTTTATAGTCCTAGATGTTTTTAATGTCTTAAATTTAGGGTGAGCGTAATTCGCGTTTTCGACAGGACTGCGACCCCAGCCTCTTCCAAGGTGTGACTCTTGTACCTTTGTCCTAAAACGATGAGAAAGGTTTTTTTTTAAACAGCAAAACATAAGCTGCAGAAATCACCTCTAGTTCTCAATGATCATACAATTGTATTCATATTCACTTTGAGCCACACATTTAAACGCACTGAACATGTCAGTAAATTCATCAGTAGCAAACAGAAAACACGAAACTGGGCAGGATTTGAACTCAGCACTTTCGGGCGGGTAGGCTAGCATCCAGATATTGCGCTACTGAAACCTTAGCCAACGCATATAAACTGGGGATTAAAGGTAAGAAAAAGAAAAAGAAAAAGAAGAGACGAAGTTTGGCACCTAACTGGCGAAAACTAAGGAGGAAGTAGTACATGAAATAGTCCCCTCTGAGGGTATATAATCGGAATGACAATCTCCAGTCCTCACTTCGGTAAATATGAACTCCTTTTACAACTTTACAACTAGAGCATCCGATCTTCTTCTTCTTCTTCTTCTTCTTCTTCTTCTTCTTCTTCTTCTTCTTCTTCTTCTTCTTCTTCTTCTTCTTCTTTGCGTTGACCAGCTGTTAACTCTAGCAGAAAGTTTTGGTTGTTCGTCCACTTCTGGACTGCAGTCCTGTTAAAGAACCTGAGTGTTGCATGTGCTTCTTTTGGACAAATATGACACATTTGTGTGCAGACTGTAGCTTCCCTGCCACTCAGGCAGATGCACTCCGAGTTCGAAGGAAGCTCTCAAATTAGCCGACTCTTACGACATGCTTTTTTGGTAGGCAGTGGGTCTATTCTTGTTTTCCCTATAATAGGGCCCAGAAGCCCACACGGGGCATCCAATCTGAAAATTAAAGACTCAGTCTTCCAGAGGGCACACCACCCAACTAACAAATGTGCACAAGGCACACATAACCACACAGGAAGAGACCCACCTTTTTGCCCTTGACGGAGTATCGTTTTCCGTCTGGCTCCACCAGCCTTGGTGGTCGCTGTGGCTTGGGTGGTTGTGGCTCACCTCGTCGGCGTAGGCTCGAGAATATATCCTCATCATAAGTCGGCTTCTTGACTTTGGTCTTAGAGATGCTTAAGACGGATAACAAATAGAACAGGTCAAAGCACAACTCTACATCTTTAGTTAGCTGTGTATATTTTGTGTGTCCGTTACTGGTGTAATGACACAAGCTGATCGTATTATGAGAGTTTGGGGAAAACATCAAGTTAGCTGCTGAGGGCTGCGTGGTCTCGGGGCATGGCGTCCGCCTCGAGTGCTGGAGGTCCCAGGTTGAAGCCCTAGAGAAAGCTGGAACTTTTTCACGTGGACTTCTAGTAATTCCCCTGATCTATGGGTAGTCAGATTGGACGCCCGTGTGCATTGTTGCGCAATTTAAAAAAATCCCTTGGGTGTTGGAAATCGAAAATAGCCTGACGGCACTGCCCGGGAAAATTTTGGAGTAAAAAATTTCCCCAAAGTATTTCATGATCCTCACCGGTACTGCGGAGCTCGTGCGCTGTGCTACGATTCTTCAGACTCATGCTTGAGTCAGAAGCAGAACGGAGCACTTATGGATTACTCCTTGTGCCTTGGTATTGATCCGTTGTCTAAAGCTAAAACTTTAATCTAGTTAGAATAATGTATGTGTACGAGGCGGGGCTTAAGAATGACAAGCACGGGGTTTAAAGTGACTGTTGTTGAACAGGATAATAACTGACTGATGCTAAGATAATGCGTGGGATTAAACGGATGATTAGGAGTATGCAAGGAACTAAAAATTGTTGTTTTAGCACTTGGACGAGTCAAGTGGAGGAATGAATGTGTGTGGGGCAGAGTTGACCCAAGCAGTTTACAGTGTATTTGGCAATATGATGGACGACAAAATGGCAGGGAAGCTGGTATGTCAGTAAAGCTGGTATGTCAGTAAAGCTGGTATGTCAGTGAAGTTGGTATGTCAGTGAAGCTGGTATGTCAGTGAAGCTGGTATGTCAGTGAAGCTGGTATGTCAGTGAAACTGGTATGGCAGTGAAGCTGGTATGTCAGTGAAGCTGGTATGTCAGTGAAGCTGATATGGCAGTGAAGCTGGTATGGCAGGGAAACTAGTATGTCAGTGAAGCTGGTATGTCAGTGAAACTGGTATGGCAGTGAAGCTGGTATGTCAGTGAAGCTGGTATGTCAGTGAAGCTGGTATGTCAGTGAAGCTGGTATGTCAGTGAAGCTGGTATGTCAGTGAAGCTGGTATGTCAGTGAAGCTAGCATTGAATTGGCATGCCAGCCTCAATCAAAGCAAAGCTTATGACACATAGGGAGATTTGGACTGTGCAAGAGCTCTCATCAACGCTACTAGACTTCAGGTACAAGGGTTTCTGACAAGGATCGAAGAAAAAGAGCCAAATCTAGAACAGGCAGACGAACTAACAACCATACCTGCCATTTTTGTACTGGGCAGCCAAGTCGTCGAGTGAATCAAACAACTGTCCGCTGTAGAAAACTTTCTCGGTCTCCCATTTAGAAGAGTCGACGTCCTTGAGGTTGACCAGGACAGCGAAGTCGAGAGAGTGGAGACCTTTGTAGGGTCGGTTGTGCAGGGCAGTTATCCACATCAGCCTGGGGGAGGCAAAGAGAGGGGAGGGGGATGGGATTCATTTCACGATACATTTTATAAAATAATTAGGTAGTAAAAACAGCAATCTCTCTTTTAGATAACAATATATTGACAGAAAACCCCAACTCTCCGATTTTGATTACTCATTGATGAATGTTCTTCAGTTAGATAACTGAATAATTTTTCAAATTCTTGACGCAGACACAAATACAGATCAACGCAACGATAGACAGACATACTTCTTCTTATTTCTTCTTTGTTTACAGGCGGAAAGTTCTGGTTGTTCGTTCATTTGGACGTTTGCTTTTTGCCAGGCCCTACGTTTTTTTTAACACCCGTTTTGCTGGCTTATTTGTGTGCAGTTGGTTGTTCCTTACGCTCGGACAGATACACTCGGACTTGGAAGTAAGTCCACAATTAGTCGACTCCTACGACAGACATGTTGGTGAGGCAAAAAGGCCTATTCTTGTTTTCACCACAATGGGACCACAGAACCAACAATAGGCGGACAGACAAACAAGCAGACAGACAAATTGACAGACAGATAGATAAGCAGACCTTTTATTTATGTCTCCATGGATACCTGTGCCGACAGGCGCAGACGACGATGCCAAACAATCCTCCTCCTTTGCACACTCTGTGAATTTTCCCTCGTAGCTTTCCATCAAGATATCGCCTACCTGTAATACAAGTTGTAATAGATCAGATGTTATGTTATGTTGCGCTATACAGTGTTGTGTTATTTTATGCTGTGTTATGTTATGCAACTCGGCGTCCATTGTTTAGGCGTAGTGAGTTCGACTCGTAATTCCAACGTTCCGCGATCGAAACTCACTGCTGGCTGCGTGGATTTTTTATCGTGGTATGGGGCGTCATAGGTCGACCCAGCCTAAAATGGGTACCAGGATCCTTGGGAAGTAAAGACGGCCGGCGTAATGCTGACCCTATTACCCACCTAGTGCAGATTGGTCTGTAAAAATATGGGTGCTCATCCCATATGCCCGATGTGCCTACAGGCGTGAAAGGAATCTGTACTTTTACTTTAGTTTTATGCTACGCTATGTTGTGTGTTTTGCCTCCTTCTTCTTCTTTTAGTATATATGCGTTGAATAGTATAGCATTTCAAGGCATTCTCTCTAAGTGGGCAAACTATTTGATTTTCTTTGTATGAAATTTAGAACTGGTTCTGTGTCGACGTTTTCTCCCATGACCTCATTCCTGATTGTAACTCTTCTGGTCACTCCACAACCTTTCTCTGACATCTCATTTCCCTAGTTACTAATTTTCTTTTCAGTTTTATTTTCTTTTAAAGTGTGACGTTATCTGGCACTGATAGCATAGGACTGAGATGAATATTCTTTGTATGAAATGTTTCTTTGTGCTGACTGAGATTCTTTTATATGTCTATCTTCTTACCTTCTCATCGATCTTCTTCAGCAAGACTTCTCGTATTTCCTCGATCTCCTTCCCATTGAGTGGTCTGAAACAGGGCAGAAACGGAATTTATTAGTTACACAGACAGACACTCCCTCACAACAGCTCCAAGCCCGCACAGTCTTTCCTTCATCTAATTTTCTGCCTCTACTTTGTTTTTTTTCCTTCTACGTTCTCTCTCCACTTTCTCCGTCCATTTTGTTTTTCCTTCTACCTTCTCTCTCCATTTTCTCCATCCACTTTCTCCCTGTACGACGTTGTTGAGTTTAAACCATAATCTGCCATAATCACCCCTCCCTCCTGCATTAGCTCACAACCTGTTGGCCCAGCCCCTTATGCACCTCCCCTAACCCCTCCCCCAGCCTCTTATGCACCTCCCTTAACCGCTCCCCCAGCCCCTTATGCACATCCCCCCAGCCCCTCCCTCAGCCCCTTACGCACCTCCCCTAACCCCTCCCCCAGCCCACTATGCACCTCCCCTAACCAATCTCCCAGCCCCTTATGCACCTCTCCTACCCCTACCCCGCCCATAATGCCATTATGCCACTCCCCTACCTATCCCCTAGCATATTATGCACCCCCACGCCCTTCCCCAGCCCCATCAGAAGACAAATAGGTAAAGGGGACAGAGCTTATCCAGGACTTGAGATCTTAGCCCCCCTTCTTTCCTCTTTTCTCCCCAATCCGTCTCCTATTGTTCCCCCCCCCCCCAATCTCTCTCTCTCTCTCTCTCTCTCTTTCCCCCCCCCCCCCACCCCATTTATCTAACGCCTCACGCTTAAAATTTCTTAAGGGGCTAGTCGTTGCCATCCAACCATGTATGTGTTCATACATTTCAGATGTGTGCCCTATCTTCATTATCCTGTAGCAGGTCCTTCGTAGAACGTTGTTCTCATCATCTACCTTCATATCCAAGGAGTCACTTATGTCTGTGCCCATCTTCGTGGTCGGCTCCTGTACCTCTCCTTCTTGGTGCCAGACCTTCTGGTGTTATTTTTTCAAGCTTGTCCAATAATTTAATATGGCCAAATATTTCAACTTGCGAGACAAAATGCTGTTTATTGGCCAATATATAATGTCAGTATTTCTTCTCTTCTTTGTCCATGGTATTCTAAGAATCGTTCTATAGTAGTTCAGCTCAAAACCCATATTTTCTTCATTCATTTTTTCCTATTTCCCATGTTCTATTTATTATTACATTGTTTGCCCTTGCGTATATTAAAATAATATACATTTTTTCCTATTGATATCGTTGATAATAATATTTGCAAACACTTAATATAGGTTTAACGCCCTCTCATCTAAAACATTTGTAGGGGCACTATGCCACCTCCCCTCGCCCCTTTTTCTTTCCTTTTTCCAAAAACGTACATAGTTCGTTTACCTATTTGCAGTTTAAGAAAATAAAAGAACAGCTGGCACACCTGACAGTCCACTCGACGGGGTTGCGTCTATTGGGGCGCTGCAGCAGCTCACACTTGCTGATCTCGGGCAGAGGTCCACAGACGTACTCTTCTACAACTGGAATCTCCTTATCTCCTCTGAACATGATCACTTGGGCTTCCCTCTTTGGCTTAGGGCCTAAGAAATGTACACATTAATTATGGTTGTAGGTGAAATTCAGCGAAGTCGAGACAAGATGCTGACGTTAATATTTGCTTTCTTCAAAATCTGAGTGTATCTTCTTCTTCTTCTTCTTCTTCTTCTTCTTCTTCTTCTTCTTCTTCTTCTTCTTCTTCTTCTTCTTCTTCTTCTTCTTCTTCTTCTTCTTCTTCTTCCTCTTCTTCTTCTTCTTCTTCTTCTTCGTCTTCTTCTTCTTCTTCTTCGCGTTCATCATCATCATCATGTAGCAGGTCCTTTGCAGAACGTCGCTCTCATCACAGTCTGCATGTAAGAAACTCGGTCTCTTGCCAGTTCTCCCGCCTCTTGAACTTTCACACTCAAGGAGTCACTTATATCCTGTGCCCATCTTCGTGTCGGTCGGCCTCTGCCCCTCCTTCCTGGTACCATGCCTTCTGCTATAATTTTTTCCAATCCGTCGTGGCGCTTGATATGACCAAAATATTTCAGCTTTCGGGAAAGGATGCTGTTTATTAGCCAAACTTCCTTGATGTTCAGATCTTTGAAGATGTCAATATTTCTCATCTTCTTTGTCCAAGATATTCTGAAAATCTTTCTATAGCATTTCAGCTCAAAAGCCCATATTCTCTTTCTTAAGGACTGAGAGATAGTCTACGACTCACATCCGTATGTAGGCACAGGGAAGATGCATGCTCTCAAAATTCTAATTTTGATCTCCTTGCTGGTGCTTAACCATAGACTTTTAAGGCTGTTCAATCTTTGCATTGCTATGGCCATCCTTTTTTTAATTTCTGTCGAACAGTCTCCATTGCAGTTTATTATAGAGCCTAGATATTCATAGTTTGTGACATTTTCATTTTCTTCATCATTTATTGTTATTTTTGGGTGACAGCCAGTTTTATCTGTGGCCATTATTTTCGTTTTGTTTAAATTCAAGAACAGATTTTGATCTTCACTGTGCTTTTGGACGGACAATATTAAATTTTCTATTCCCTTTACGCTGTTCGAAAGGAGGACTGTGTCATCTGCGTTCCGGAGTTCTGGAATAGGGTTGCCACCAATTTTGAGCGGATCATAACTGTTACAAGTCTGGTCATTTTTGACATTTCTCATTATATTTTCTGCGTATATATATTCTGCGTATTTTCTTCGCATTCACGGGCTGTAAATTCTGGCGAAAAGTTCTTGTTCTTCGCCAGCCTCAGGGCTTTAGACTGGCTCAAGAACCTGAGTGTACATCAGTTTACAGATTTGCCTTATTTGTATGCAAATTGTTTGTTACTTGCCTCTCAGACAGATGCACTCCGACTTTGAAGGCAGTCCCCAGTTAATCGACTCTTACGACATAATTGCTAGGGAGGCTGTGTGTCTGTTCTTGTTTTCCCCACAATGGGGCCCCGGAACCCACACGGGGAGTCTAAGTGTATATACGTGAGGAGTCAATAGCCAGGGTATAGATCAGCTAGATCTTTAAAACTGATGTACACACGAAAATCCACTTCTGGAATAAGACCAAATTCCAGCGGTGAACTAACAACTAAAACTTTCCTTCGGAGTTTATAATGCTAATAAAAGACACTCTTCATTAGTAACCATGGAAATGAGATGTCTGAGAAGGGCTGTAGGAGTGACCATAAGAGATAAGATCAGGAATGAGATCATAAGAAAAAAAGTCGGCACGGAACCAATTCTAAATTACATACGAAGACAGCAAGTAAAATGGTTTGCCCACTTAGAGAGAATGCCTTGTGACACCATACCATACAAAGCATACATGGAAAGAGAAGAAGGACGTAGAGCACGAGGTAGACCAAGAACAATATGGAAGGATAACATCAGAGAAACTCTACAACAGCACGATGTGCCTATGGTCGAGGCGGCCAGAAGAGCTAGAAACAGAACCTTATATCTCCCTCGACACCCACAGCGGTAAAAGAGGAAGTGAAGAAGAAGAAGAAGAAAAAGACACTCTTCGTCTTCTTCTTAGAGTTTATGCTGTCTGGCGTTGGTAGTCATGTCCATCCACAACCTTCTATCTCGCGTACTTTCAGTCAACTCTGACACAGATGATCTTCCATGCTATGATGTAAGTCTGTCCAGTATCTGTTCTCTTGGTCTCTCCCTGTCTCTCCTCCCCTCCAGCTTTCCTACTGTCACTTTGTACTCCAGTTTTCTCCCTCTCATCACATGACCAAAGAATGTAGATTGTCTCTTTCTGATGTGGGCAATCAGTTCTCTTTGTGAGTCAATTTCTTTCAAGGCATCTTCGGTACTCTGTTTTTTTTTTTAAATCTGTCCAGGGTATTCTCACCATTCTTTCATAAAACCACATCTCCGCAGCTTCCAAATAAGTTTTCAACACTTGACCAACTGTCTGAGATTCACTTCCATACATCAAGATAAGATTTATGTAGCTTTTAAAAATTCTCTTTCTCATAAACAAACAGTTCTAAATTATATAAAAAGACAGTAAATCAAAGGGTTTGCCCGCTTAGAGAGAATGTCATGTGACGCCATACCATCCAAGGCACACACCAAAAAAGGAGAATAATATAGAGCAGAAGGTAGCCCAAAACAAGATGGAAAGATAACATCATAGAAACTCTACAACAGCATGATGTGTCCATGGTCGAGGCGACCAGAAGAGCAAGCAGCAGAACCTTATATCTCCATCGACACCTGAAGCGGTAAAAGAGGTATCGAAGTAGACGAGAACAAGAAAAAAGATGCTCTGATCATACAAAATTATCAAACTTAAACTTCTTATTAGTCTCTTTATCTGCTTACTTCTCTTACATTCATAAAAACACAAAGAAAGATGACTTTCGGTCAGTATGGAGGATAGGGTAGTTTGCTGCTTTTAGTCGTGGCAAGTTTTTGCTTCTGACTGTTACAGGCCATTGCATTTCACTCCATATGCGGTCAGAAAATACGATTCCGTCGAGCAGCTACTGAGTTGAATGTATAGCCCGACACTGTGAGCTGTCGGTTTTATTTGGAGCGTTTTTAGAGTGTGCCCAACGTTGTTTGTGTTGTCAACTGTAGATTCAGAAATGATGAGTGGCTTTTGTCACAGAACTGGCAGTGATGAATCGCGTCTGCAGCTACTGATCAGTAACTGCTGCGTCCATTGATGTTGAACTGCATTTCTTGTGTCTGTATGTGCTGGCATTCCTGACGGCATTTTATGCATTTGTATACTTTTGGATTTGCCGAGACTGTAGTCTGTGTAAATGTTTTCACAAGGGACAGTGATTGACACTTTTTGTGATTTTCCTTGGTACAATGGATCGTGATTGACACTGTGTGATTTTCGTTGGCACAAGAACAGTTAACTAATTACTGATTTAAGAATCGACATCATAGCACACCAGGCATACGCATAGATGCTCCGTCTCCCACAGCAAATGACGTAAGGTGTTGATGCTAACTGTTTCCATAGCACACTGATTATACTCACGATGTTATTTCATCTAATCTCGTGTCTTCTGCCAAATGTCGTTTATATATGGTCTTCATAACATCTCCCTTGTCCATTACTAGTGTTCCCGTAGCTTTCACTTTTGTAGCCCGAAAATCCACTCTTTCATTCCCCCGCACTCCTGACTAGAAGAAAAACAGACACAAGAACGGAACAACAGTAACAATCACACACGTACACACAGAAACACGCATACAATGCGAGAAGCTTCAGCCGCTGACCTGCTTCATCCAGGTACTTGAGTACTTCCTCCTTCTTTGGCTCGAACAGCTGGGCCGTGAAGATATAACTGCTCTTTAGCGTGGCATTGCTGGACTTGTCTGCCTTGATATTGGGGTCGTTCTCCAAAAATTGGCGGAGCTGTGGAGATTTACCTGGCATACATGTTGTCGTAAGGCAAAAGTAATGACAATATCAAAGACAAGAATGGAACCCGAATGAACTAATAAAAGTCAAAGGGGTTATTTTAGGACAGAGAGTCGGGGATACGTTGGATGAACCATGGACAAAATAGTTTGAACAACGGATCAACATCATAGCACAAGGGTAGTAACCACTAAGGGCTCCGATCTTCTTCTAACTCAAGTCTGAGTCCGAAGAAGCTCAGCACTATGCACAGGCTCTGTAGCACCGGTGAGGATCCTGAAATACTTTTTTTCAATTTCCAGCTGCCAAGAGATTTTTTTTTTACGTGCGCAGCAATGCATACGGGCGTTCTATCTTACTACCTAGAGACCAGGGGGAATTACTAGAAGTCCAAGTCCACGTTAAAAAAAATCCCAGCCCTTACCGGAGATTGAACCCGGAACCTCTAGCACTCGAGGCGGACACCATGCCTCGAGACCACGCAGCCTCCTAGACAAAACACGATGGGAAACAGAAAAGGAAGGAGCGTTCTATCTCTAAGGGTAGGAGCATTAACCAGAAGATCTGTAATTTCTACAGGTTTTACCCCTTTGCTGAAGAAAAACTGTTAAGAAAAATGCTGCAACTATTTAGTGCATGCCAAAAGTGGGGCGGCCATCTTTAATCTGTCATGATGACATCGCTGCACCGTGCTGTCACTTGATCAACACTCTTGACATCCTTAACAACAATATTGACCGGTATCAAGACAATGACATGGTTAGTGTCATGTATTTCATACTTCCAAGGTTTTAATTTGATTTGGTTTGGTTTGATTTGAACAACGAATCAACATCATGACAAACAGGTAGTAACCCATAAGTGTTCCGTTCTTCTTCTAACTCAAGTCTGAATCCAAAAAAAGCTCAGCACAGTGCACATGCGAGGGACCTGAAATACTTTGGGTAGATTTTTAATTCAAAATTGTGCCCGGTGCACGCCGTTAGGCTACTCTTTTCGATTTCCTACTGCCAAGGGATTTTTTTTTTAAGTGCGCAACAATGCACACGGGCGTCAGATTTCACTACCCAGATACCAGATGTGGGGGGGGGGGGGATTACTAGAAAGCAAAGATCTACGTGAAAAAATCCCCAGCCCTTACAGGGGATTGAACCCTGAACCTCTAGCACTCGAGGCGGACAACAAGCCTCGAGACCACGCAGCCCCCCCCCCCCCAGTTTTCATTTGAATCCCTCTCCTATGAATCAAACCTTACCTTTCTGAGTTCACTCTCCGTTAGATCAAAGAATGGATCTAGATCAGCGGGGTCCGACTGGTCAATGGTGTAGCCGTTGGGGTTTGTGGATCCACATTCAGGAAAGTTCTCTTCACTTTGATTCGTCTTAGGAGGGATGGGGTCTCCGTGGACGCAGAAGAGACCCACGGTGATGAGAAGTAAGGGGGTCGCGAATCCCACCATGGTCAATTTAAGGCTGTGTGGACTTCGGGGTCAACTTGAAGGCAAGCTGTAGATTGAAAAAGGATACAGCTGGTTTTAGCGCGTTTCAAACGTCGTGCCTTCAAACAATATTATACGTTTCGAAAACTTTTGTACAGATCAACACGAAATTGTGCATGTGGTCTTAAATATGATTTTATAAATTACAATTGTACAGGTTTTATTATTGCAGCAAATTGCTTTAATCCTTGTTGGCTAATAATTTGTGTACCACCTAAAAATAGAACATACAGTAATTGACTTTGGAAGGTTTTTTGGAAATCAGTTCACATGGGAGCGATGTGTGGTGATTATTTTGAAAGTCTATCCTCGATAAAGTAAAATATGGAATTAATAGGGAACTAAACAAAAACAAAAAAGTCAAATATATCACAATGGCGTCTAAATCGGCGACTGTGGTTTAGGCATTGCGAGCTCGCTTCTTAATGCCGGGGGTGCCAGGTTCCATCCCAGCTGCGGACGATTTGTCTTGCGTTGGTTTCCACAGTGGTACCAAGAGCTGACCGTTTAGAGAGCAAAAGCAAACTACTGAAGGTAAAATTTGCCTTGATAAACCACTAGAGCAACAACAACAACAAAAAATGCTGGGGTTGATGCTGCAACGCCCTGTAAAGGATGCGCAACTAAATAATGTTTGATTCAGAGAGTAAAACAGGAAGTCAAAACTCTCAAGTAACGGAAATACGGATACGAATGCGGATCCATCTACAGCAAACTGATATATAAAAAAAAAATATGTTTCTAGTCCTATATACCCAAAAATTCTGTAGTTTTAAGCTTTTATCCATGTACATCTCCCACTGAGCCAAACACAGAGTGCCAGGACACTCTGGGGTAAGAGGGGATGAACGAGCGGATTGGCTTACTGTTAAGGCCACGATAGGTACAAGAACTTTGTGTCCAAAAAAAGGTGTCGCCAAACATGAATACTATACAGGTAGCCAAAGAAGAATAGTAAACCAACACAGAACTGGTGTTATCAGTCGCCACACTCTGAGGGATATACTGAAGATGCGATCCGAGCGCTTATGGTCTTGTCCGAGATTAACTAACCAACTAACTTCGGGCGGAGGAGCGCAGTGGGGAGGATACCAGCCTCATCCTAGGAAGAGGCGCTGCAACCTGAAAATTGCATGGTATGGCAGCGCAGACCAGGGCCTTAGCCTTGGCTGGCAGCTAGTCTTTAATGAAGGGGGTAACAGGTTGGAGAATCTCCCATAAGCGGACATGGAAAGATCTTTTTTTCTGATCCGGCAGCTTCTGCAGCATGCTTTCTGCCAAACGTGTCAGTGTTACCTTTCCATCGGACTAAACAAGACAGGTCGACAGCTGTATCCTGATGCATGGACAAATGCTCTTTACAATTCTGCCCAGGCTTTGTATAATTCTGTGGCCGGGTTGGGATTTACATATCTCCCAATTGCACAATATAACACTTGATAAACGGAAATGTGCCAACATATCCATGTACAGTTAAAGGATTCTTACAAAACTATCCACCAACAATATGCATGAAATGGGAACAGTATTAACATTCTTACGTGCTGTATTCTTCCGCCTATGCACGTTTCCGTGAGAAAACCGTGCGCTAGAGAAAATGCAGCAAAAAACTGGCCTTTTAAATGAGAAGGAATAATAGCTGTACATCTTTATGGTCGCAGCATCCTCGTAAACACAACAATTAATTAACGTGCGTTAATTAGGTTTCTGTTTTAGGTTGCTCGTCTGTTAACGGTCGTTAGTTATTTGTAAGTAAAGTAACTTACCTCTTGTCTTGCCCACATCATGTCGGTCAAAAGATGTTAAAAGTGAACCAATGAACTTTTTTTTTTCACAGGGTCACAAATTGGGCACACAGGCCCGTCTTACATTCGACCCTTTCAGACATTCTTCTTCTTCCACACATCAGTTGTAATTTATTAATAAGGCATATTATGTTCATGAAACAAGGCGCATAATTTAAATATCAAGCTCAAACACAAAAGCGTGGATGGTAAATGCATGCGCGAACGCACACAGGCCCACTCACATATTCCGTCAACCTTTCCAAGTGGCGCCCTATTTGAATAAATGCACGACACCCCCCCCCCCCTTTTTCCGTTTTGACAATACCGCCCTCACGCATTTTCTAACCCACAACTCTTAAAAAAAAGGTGACTAAAAAGAGGACAAAAAGAAAAATCCCCAAGCAAGGTTAACGAGAACTTGGAGAAAAACGTTCACATCGCGATAAACAACAACAGAAACAAGCATAATCAATTGGTATTTAAGTGTCCAAATATCAGTCTAATGGTTGACCCTGTTTTGTCTCGATGATATCTCCTATTTTTGTTCTGATTGACTAGAAACACAAAAGATCACTATCCGCGTGAACCTTGCAGCGCTGTTTTATTTTCATGACTGAAAAATTGTCATTTGAAGGTTTGAGACCTGAACAACGGATCAACATCATGGCCCACAGGTAGTATCCCATATGTAACTCAAGTCTGAGTCCGAAGAAGCTCAGTACATGGCACAGACTCTTTAGCACCGGCGAGGATCCTGAAATAATTAGGGTATATTTTTAATTTCAAATTTTTCCCGGGCAGCGCCGTCAGACTCTTTCCGATTTCCAACTGCCAAAGTATTTTTTTACGTGCGCAACAATACACACGGGCGTCAGATATCACTATCCAGAGACCAGGGGGAATTATCAGAAGTCCAAGTCCACGTGAAAAACTTCCAGCCCTTACGGGGGATTAAACCCGGAACATCTAGCACTCGAGGCGGACACCATGCCTAAAGACCACCCAGCCCCCTGCGTGAAGGGGAAACATGTTAGTATTACGCGTTTTTTTCCCTCCTTCTTCAGCGTTTCGAGCCCTTGAGGTTCATTGCTGCAGATATCACCCGCTTCCACTCATCTCTCTGGTTGGCCTTCTTCAGCGTTCCGAGCCCTTGAGGTTTATTGCTGCAGATATCACCCGCCTCTATCGTTAGCATGACCCGGTGACGTCAGCAGCATGACCCGTCATCTACAGCTGGTCATGATTATACATTCAACAGCAACTGGTGTCTGCGATGATTCTCTTCTATCTTTATCTGGCTCGCATCATCGCAACGCTCACGTACCGACATCACATGACGAGCAGAAAATGGATGATTGGAACAACAACACGATACTGTTCAGTACTTTAATTTCCTACTCGCGGCTTACTCAGCCGGCACATGGAAACAGACTATTGTCCAGGCACACAAATCTCGTGTTATCCCAGTCAGTCAAAACATTCCCCTTACATTTATTACTGACGTCATCTGTCGGGCATAAATTAATTGGGAGAAAATGAACTCACTACAGTGTCCCATCAAAACGGTCTTAAGGGTCTTATCAAACATGTTAAACTAGGTTGCCCTGGGAGTCAAGGTAAAATATCTAAAGGTATGTCCGTTGCAGGTTCCAACGCCAGGAACTTGTACGGCGCGACTTCTATGACTGACGGCTCACCGCCGTGTCAGGTACACCGATCAGTGTCCCCAG